AGAAAAAACTAAGGAGTTTCCCAGTGGTGTCCAGTGCATGCCTTTAATCCCAGCACTCGAGATGCAGAGGCAGGTCGATCTCTGTGATTTTGAGACCAGCCTTGTCTACAAGAACTAGTTCTAGGACAGCCTCCAAAGCCACAGAGAAACCCGGTCTCAAACCCCCCAACAAAAAACCCAACATATACCATGTTATAATCTTATGTTCTTATATGTTGCTGTGGTTTAGAAAATTGACCTCCAAAGACCAGTGAGTTAAGGGCTTTGTGCAGCTTGGCCCTAGTGGGAGGTAGTGACACTTTTAAGAGGTTCAGCTGCTAGGAATCAGGTCATTAGAGAGCTGCTCTTGAGGGTGTGTCCAAAGGTCTCCCTTTCTTTTTTGTGAGGTGAGCACTGCTTCTCCATATACCTGCTTTCTCAATGCATCACCTTGCCACAGGCCATAGCTAACAGGTTCAACCAATCCCAGTGATGAGAAGAGGAAATAGACACAGGCTCCCATCCTTAATTAAGACTCTATCTGTAATCAATATGACTGGCAAAGGGAAGAAATTGTGTTTTCTTTAGTGGAGTCTCCCTGGATGTATATATGCTGTACCTTGGATCTTAAATGTTTCACAAAGATGTATATTTTAAATACTTGGCCACTATCCTGGTACTATAAGGAATGATGGGCTTAGTAAAGTGTGTTTGGGTCATGGAGAATATGCTCTCAAAGGAAATCATGGACTCCAAGACTCCCCTGCCTGTCATCCACTCCAATATGGATTCTGGGGAGGGCATCTCCATCACAGTGGCTGCACTAACAGCCTGACTAACACAGATGAAGAGACTTTGAATACATTCAACTGCTTCTCATGGGAGACACATCTGAGACACAGCCAAACCACTCTTCTGCTCCAATGACCCCTTCTGCATGCCTATCCTTTTATTCTATATTATTTTAAAGTATCTATTACATTAGCACATTATATTTTTGTAATTTTTTTTGTTTGCTTGTTTGCATTTTCTGTTTTTACAAAAGTATGCAGAGACAGGGTCATTGCTTTCTTTGGGGTTTTACCAGATTTGCTGGTCTGTGGACAAACAGAAGATAATTTTGGCATGAATGAATACACAAGGAAACCTATGGTTTAATTAAGGGATGATTTGAAATAAACAGTTGCAATACTATCATGATTATCATACCCCATTTGTTGTTTTACTTTTACAATGTATTTTTCAATACCAATATAATAGCCAATAATAAAACAAACAAAAGTTTAACAAAACAAAACAACAACCAAAAAACTCTTCAAAATATTTGCCAAGTTCAGACTTTATCTACTTCTTTATTATTCTTCTTTCTTTCTTTCTTTCTTTCTTTCTTTCTTTCTTTCTTCCCCCCCTCCCCTCTCTCTGTATCTTTCTTTTTTTCCATTGGGCATTTAACTGATGGCTTCACCAACAGATGTAAACACTGGCTGTATAGCTGTTCATCACCTCCTCTTGTCCCTAGTACTCGGGAATATGCAGGTGTGGGAAATATGTTTACCGCATCATTTAATATATAACTGGGGCCTCTATTTCCTCAAAGTTTGGAGTTAACTTTTCGAAGTCAGATGAGTTAATAAGGAAACTAGGCTTGCAGTGAGGGGTAATTTGCATTTCTAGGTGTTATGAATAAACATTGATTGGCCCTTAAAGCATCATTTGCAAAAAATATTATTCATTTCCTTTGCTGGAAAAGGATTCACAGATTTCCAGTTTAATAGTTTTTTAAGCCAAATTAAATTTCATAAAATCATTTGAGAGATGTCTAAAGGAAGATTTGCCTATGTTTACTGGTAAATATATCAATATATTTTATATAACCTTCTACCCCATTTTTACCACTGTATTTTCTCTCTCTACAGCTTGCCTATGAAAATACAGCTGGCTAACAAGATTGGTGATAGAAGCATGCTCCATCTACAGATATGGCTGTTGGAAGCAAATGGCTCTAGACTGTGGTTCTCAACCTGGGGGGGGAGATCCACCTTTTCATAGGGGGTCACCTAAGACGATCTTCAAATCAGGTATTTACATTATGATTCATAACAGTAGCAAAATTACAATTATGAAGTAGCAACAAAGTAATTTTATGGTTGGGGGTCACCACTACATGACGAGCTGCAATGGGATGAAGCTTTAGGAAGGCTGAGAACCAGTGATCTAATAGATGGTTCAACAGTTTTCTGATTGGACTAAACAATTTATTCAGATAGTAAAACCTTTCTAGAACAGGACAGAGGCAGGGATGAGGCTATGTTATATTTCGATAGTAATAAGTATTTCTGGTGTGTTCCTCTGGAGCAGGGCAATTGTCTATTAATCAAAAACTAGGAGACAGGATTTTGAATGTCTTTTTTGTTGTTGCTGTTTGTGGTAGTGGTGGTGGTTTTGTTTGTTTGTTTGTTTTTTTGGACAGAGTCGCTCTATGCAGCCTTGGCTGTCCTGGAACTTACTCTGTAGACCAGGCAGGCCTCGTACTCATAGAGATCTACCTGCCTCTGCCTCCCCAGTGCTGGGATTAGAGGTATACACCCCAAGTGGGGCTTGAGTTTGAATGTCTGAATATAAAGATACAATTGATGTTTCATTGGATTTAAACATGACAAAATGTAGAGATGTGTTGAAATGTCCCATGGGACTCCACAAATACCTATACTTTCTTTTCATATGTGCAGGTTAAAGTACATGCACACAAGTAAATGTGTTCTATCAAAAGCCCATATGAAGATAGTGTGAGCCACTATGTGCTTATTAACTTCAGTAACTCAATCCTGGCTCTATCTGCTGGCGACAACCGTAGGTGTAATCACACCTTTCCTACGAAGAGGTCCGGGAAGCATCTCTCTGTCCTTCATACCATAGCCAACTCCTTCTGGGAGCAAATCCTGACCTGAAGAGCAGAGCAGCAAGGAGGTGCAGAAGTGGGACAGGGATGCTGGGCAAGAGGGTCAGCTGTGAGGCTGGACCACTGTGGTCTAGCATGGCGTTGATACAAATAACCTCCTGGTAGCAGAGCCTTACACTGAAGACTGGGTGCTTTACACTGTAAGTTCCCTCTCTTTCACACTTCCCTCTTCTGTCTCCCTCCTCCTTTCATTTCTTCCAATATATCTCCAACATTAATATGCCAGACAGTGTGTTTCCAGAAGTCTATGAACCCCAGTTTAAACAATACCGGTATATGTATTTTCTGTCATCCAAAATTTAAATGCAATCTCAATTTTATCAGATTGCATTTTCCAGGGATTCCCATGAGTTCTGCTACAACTCTAAAAAGACTTGAAAACAAGTTTCCCCGGCAAAGTAATGTGTCTTAGCACATTTCTGTGCCACACCTTTTATTTCAGCGACCTTGCAAACTGGTGCAATGCCCTAAGAAGACCTCAAGGGGGCAGTATGGCGCAACGCTGCAGCGGTGGAGCGCGAGGGACAGTCAGTCAAACCTCAAGATGATTTTCACTCCTAGTTTTCTTTCTGGCTAATGAGCCATTTCTAGGGGAAAGGTCTCTAAAGGAAAACAGAATTTGTCCTTTGATAATATTTTTTTCTGCCATGTACTAGTGGAAAGAGCGCACACTACTGAGGTTTGGGAGATCATTTAGGATTGAGAACTGAGGATTCTGGATTCACCAGGATTGCTTTGCATAGATGGTATTTTTTGTTGCCAGAACTCTGGAGAGGCAAGAAGAAACCCACTGAGGACCAAGAACTATCTGAAGCCAAGAGCAGAGTCCTGGCTGTCTCACAGCAGACAGCATGTAGAGCTCTGACCCCTTCAGAACATCCCAGACATTTCCAAACCCGTGGCTGGGCTGCCATTATGTAGACATATAATCACAGAATTTTGTTTGAAACTATTATTTTAAAAGAGGTTTTAGAAATGCATAGCCTTAGGGTATGGGCAATTTAATGAGAACATGGTTCCTTACAACAAAGATTTTCATGCCATGAGTTCTTTTTAATAATATAGGTAATTATTTTTTGAAAATTTGTTACATTTACATATCTTGTGATCTTATTACCCACTATCTCCCTCTGACTCTCCCCAAACTGTTTCATTATTTACCTCTTCCCTCCCAACTCCGTGTCCATACCATTATTATTACCATCATCATTGTTGTTATTTATTGCTAATATTTCTTTATTATTTCTAAAGTCATAAGAATCTTAAATGCAGAAGGGTTTGTAGACAGTGATATTTGCATATGTGCTTATTAAAGACACTTTCTATGATATATTCTAGTGCAAGTTATAAGACAGATAAAATTACTTTTCACATATTTAAAAGGAAAAGTTTGAAACATGACTGTCTTTGCAGTTAAAGGAAGTGAGATGAGGGGAGAAGCAATGCCCTCAGAGAGAAGCATCACTTGAAAAGTTTTGAGAAAGATTTAAAGTTGCCTGTCTATAACATAGAGCAAATACAACCAAATTGCTGTCTCCCTGTATCTCAAGACAGTGTTGCTAGTTTGGAAAACCACCAGGTGTTAAGCTCCCAAGTTATTGTGCATGTCACTTGCACTGAATATAAGACCCAAGAAATAATGGGATCTTCATATTAGCTTAAGCTAATTGATGCAAATCAAACACAAATTTATCAAGAAGCTGAAGAAGCTGAGGCTCCAGATTCATTCATTTTCCAGGCTCTGGAAGCTGCTGGGGGTTTTGAGGTGTTTGGGAGGCAAGTTGCAACCAGCAAACACTTTTCCTGTAAGGAATCTTGATAAATTCCTTGGAAATTCATAGGAAAATGGCATTTACCTTCTAAAGTGTCTATAATTTACTTGAATTAAAAAATGTTTTCATTTAAAGGTAAGTACACTGTTGTTGTGTGTGTGTGTGTGTGTGTGTGTGTGTGTGTGTGTGTGTGTGTGTGTGTGCCCATGCTGGCCAGATCTCAAGGTCACATTCTTCATCTATCACTTTTTTATTTTTTATTTTTTTATTTTTTGAGACAGGTCTCTCGAAGAACCTGGAGCTTGTCTGTTCAGCTACACTGGGTGGCCAGCATGCTCCACAGAACTGAGATTAATGGTGTACACCATGGAAAGAAATTCAGAAATTTGCATGGAATGGAAGCTAAAATCTTATGCTAGTCTATATCTACCTGGCAGATAGTGGCTGAAAACACATAGACCTAGTTTTTAAATTGATTTCAATATAGAATGACTATAAAGTCCAGGAGTCATGCATTGTAGACTTCAGAATGTGAGGACCTTATTGACAATGTGTGATTGGCAAAAGGGAATGTTTGGGCCTATCCTCTGGCAGTGACTGAAGTCAGGTGAGTACCTGGAACAATTCCAATGCTACTGGTGCTTACCTAGTCCCACACTATTGTAGCAGGAAAAGCATATTATGAAATGACAGTAAATTATGCAATTTAACATGTTTGATTGAAATCAATGTGCAATTATCATTAGAGTTAATGGAGCATATAATGAGGTTATTGTGAATGGGATGGGAAGTTGAGATCCACAGAAAAGTCAAACTCCAAAGTAAGAGATTTCCAAGGTAAATGTCGATGTTCCTTCCTGAAATGAGAGCTGCAACATTTAACTTATAGATTTTTTTTTTTTAGTAAACCAGACAACATGAACCACTCCATGGCTTTTGCTCAGTGTAAAGTCCCATGACACGGCCCATGGAACCACATCAGAGTCTTTCTACTATTTGTAAGTACCACTGTAACTTTTCTTTCATGATTCCACCCAAATCAGCACTGTCCAATAATTGTCTAGAAATTTTTGTCCAAAAACAGTTCTATAAATTCAGGGATTTTTGTTTGAGTTAAGCCTGTAGAAATTATAATTTTCAGTGAGAATGTGATTTCCAAAAAAAGCAGTGCAGGGGGCTTAAGGCAGTACATATCAAGACTGGAAGCTGCTTTTGTATTAGGTATAGAGAGACCTTTGTTTGTTCTTTGAGTTATCTTTTCTCTTATTCTTTTAAAAACTCTCATCAAATTAAGAGATTTAGATTTACAAATTGACGTTGTTTTCATTCTTAATGCTACACACTTTCAACCGGTTAGATGCAAATCATTTTTCTGTTCTTTATTATCACAGCTTAGAATGTGCAAAAACAACAGAAGATAGGCAAGGATAAACAGTTATTAATAACAGACAATAAGTCATAGGATCCCAAAGCAGCAGACACATTCTAAGAAGCACCTTAGTGGCTGCAAAACAGTTGCCCAGAATTTTATTCACAAAGAAGCTACCAAGTGGCTGCAATAAAAGCTGATGTGGTTATATGTTTCGATCACTAGTCATGGGTTTGAAAGGTGACATGATATGGTCTTTGTAGCACAAAGCAGGTGATAGTGCTTGGTCCCTTTACTTTCTAACTTCTTTCATCAGAAGCTACAAATGTGAACATTACCTATAAGGCAGTGACAGCATTTTGTATTTTGAAACTAGAATGTTCTGTTCACAAGACCAATTTATCACATGACACATGCATCACACACACACACACACACACACACACACACACACACACACTTCATGTAGCCCATTTGAATAGCCTGGGATTTGAAATCCTCTTCCCTCAGCCTCAGGAGTACTACTGTGTCAGGAGTGCACCCCCTCCCAGCTATATGTTATTTGTAAGGTACTTGAAACTGTGAATATTTCTTCAGAGTACAATAATGAGAAGGAAGGATATTACATGTGTTTGGCCATAATGGAATGCCAGGCATAAAGGCAGCTGGATTTCATTCTTTTAAAAGATATGGAAGTAAACTTTTGCTTCCAAACAAACAATAAATTTATTCTTCCTAATCCTCCAGCTAAATAAACTAAAATTTCTGAATGCTTACATAGGAGACAAACAGGGCTGAAAATTAGGGGCAGGTGGAGAAGCTAGGAACCTGTGGGCTCAAGAAAGAGATGAACTCCTTGGGTTTCTGTTTGCCATCTATATCCAGGACCCTGAACTGGAGAAGTCAGCAGACTAAGAGGATAAAAAATGGTGATAATAAGGATGCCTCAATAAAACCACATTCTCCCTAGGAAAAGATCAGCAGAAGAGAAGCCAACCGGGAAGAAAACCTGTCCACAGTAACTACTCTATTCCAGAAAGCAAAACAAACAAAACAAACAAACAAAACAAAACAAAAAAGCATCCCACCTCCATGTCTGCAAGGCCAATGGGGAGCAGATCCTACCATGGTGTCATCACAGTCCTTCTTCATTCTTAGCGTTTTCCCATAGGTAGACACAAAGTGAAAGACATATGAAGTCTCTTCATCTATGTTTTCCCCATTACACGAGTGCCTGTGCTTGTCATAAAACTAAAATTCTAATTTAAAATGTAATGAAAGGGCAGCCAGATGGCTTGCCACAAAGCCTGATAACCTGAATTTGATCCCTTAGTCCCACATAGAAGAAGAGAAGAGGTGACTCCTACAAGATGGCCTTTGACACATACACACAGACACACACACACACACACACACACACACACACAGAGAGAGAGAGAGAGAGAGAGAGAGAGAGAGAAATCAGTCCCTTTCAAATACCTCAAATCATCCAAAATCTAGTTAATTGGGGATTTGTTTTATTCTCCCAAAAGTAGTGATTGAAGACTAGATTAGAGATAAGAACTTGGAGAGGGACCAACTAGAAAAACAACATAAAATTGTCTTTGCCCTGTATGGAAAAATATTTAAGTATGTATCCTATTAATCACAGTATTTCTCAAGATTAGTGGACTAGTGTGAGTGACCCAGATGTTGCAGAGCCACCACATCCCACAGTGCTAAAAAGAGGTAGTCTATCCCTAGGATAAGGTTGCCCAGGTGACCTTCTGTAACCAGGTCTTAGCACTCATTACAGCACACAAGTAAGTTTAGATCAAGTCTCTCTCCTTTCTTGCAGCTGTAGTAGGAACTGAAAATGGATGCTTAGAATAATTTTATCATAGACAGAGTTTTAACCTTCAAGAAGCATATACAAAACACTTATGCTCAAACATTATAGTCATAATCTCATTTTATAATAAATATGCCAAACATGATCACTATTTAAATAATCACATGTGAGTTAAAAGGAGGGTTTAAAAAGCCTGAAAACTCTTCTGAGATTTAAGATACATGTATAGTTAAGTGCATAATGCAGATATAGTTTATGCTTGAAAAACACCATGTTGATTTGTTGGTTCAATCACTACAGCAACATTTATTATTGAATTATGTGAAACATTCATGGAAATGTACAAACTGGCATATGATACTTTTATAACTCATGCTAAATATATGTTTTGTTGACCAAAACTACACCTAACAATTACTCATACACACAGTTTTTGATTTTACATAATAGCTCAAAGTAGAACATTTATCATCAAGTGTAGGAGGTGTAGGATGCCACTTAGCAGATGATATAGAACAAAATAAATTATCCGTGTACCCCAAGCCCTACAAAAAGCAATATAAAGCTTCAGCATGCTTTTTCTCTTCTCAATTTTCAAATTCAAATGTTTTCCTCTGTTTAAAGTTTGTATTCATGGACAAATATTACATACATTGGTGGGTCTGTTCTTTCTATGTAATATAGTGTAGCAAGTGCACTTCCAATGTCCTTGTCAATCTTCCTACATTGCTCCACAGTTCTGCTTGTTTAGACATATTAAGTCTGCATGAGCTTATAGGAAATACACATAAACTTAATGATCAATGGAGATATCAGTCACTATTAGTTTATGATATGATATATTAAATTTAAAAGATCTTCATAATTTCACAAGATAGTTTTGAATGTTGAGTGCGTAGTATTATGAAATTAGCCATAGAAGAAGGTTTATCCAAAGTCCAAGGCAGGACAACAGATGGTTTTAGTTTGCTTGTTTGGTGAACTGATGAGATTAATGGCTACACCATCCATTCCCAGCCACAGGATCTGTCTCATCACAGGCCCAGAAACAATGCTTGCCAGCCAATAATGGCCAAGAGCCCTTGACTCTGTGATACAAGTTACACTTTTCCACCTTTCAAGCTGATTTTGTGAGCTATTATGTTTCAGTGACAGGACAACCATTATATATGTACACACAAACACACACACACACAAACACACACACACACACACATGCATGTCTGCACTATATAGCCCATTTTAATATTTATTTAATAATATGTAGTATTAAAGATCAGGAAAGTGAGTAAAATAAGCTATTTCTCATTTTTTAAGATAATAACAATCTGGCTAGATAAGTGGCATTTATTTCAAACAAAAATAGGAATAAAAAGAGAATAATAGGACCTTAGCCCCTAGTATACAAAGAGAAGGGGCTGTGGTGATGACATCCAACTATTAGAGACTTTGCATTCTCTCAAGAGCACCAAAGGCTGGTGACCCAGACTGCAGCTATTGGCCTCTGGGGGAGCATTCAAGATTCCAACCAAAACACATTCCAAGGCTCTCCACCGTAATTGTGTACACAAACCTTAAGTCATCCTGCTTTCCCTGAAACACTAGCTATAATCATAAACAAAACACAGACCTGAAACTTTATGCCCTTGTCAGCATGGCTTAGTGAAATGAAATAGTTATCTACATACACTCGGCTGAACCATCTCTGACTGCCTTCAAGAGAATGATAACACCCAGCAGGGCATCCTGGAAAGGTCAGCTGGCTTCCTCCTTCATGCTTGACAAAGTGTGCTGGGACATTATGTGGGGCTGGTGTCTTTCCACAGTGACTTTGAGTCCTTCTGGTTTAGGAGTTTTTCTTTCTTTCTTTCTTTCTTTCTTTCTTTCTTTCTTTCTTTCTTTTTGGTTTTGTGAGACAGGGTCTGGAGTTGTTCTTGAATGTGTACCATAAACTCTGATAATTATTCTAACTTGGTCAGATTTTGGATTTTATGCTATGACTGTGTTCTACACAAAAGTCTTTGGTGTAGTCAGCAATGATTTACAGTAGTAGTCTGATTTGGGGCCATTTTAAGCTCATAGCAAATTTGAGCAGAAAGTGCAGAAGTATTCTCTATGGCGCCACCTCCATACATGCATAACCTTCTACATTGACAGGATTCCCCCACAAAGCCATAACTTTGTTACAACTGATGAACCTACATGAATACATGTAGGTTCACTTTCACTTGAAGTTCATATCCATATGGGCTGCCCAGTTCTTGTATACACTCTATGGGCTTGTGTAGTTAGATAGCGACAGGAATTCCTTATAATAGTATAACACAGCATAGTTTTACTTGCCCTTAAATTGTTTCATTTTTGTGCATTCGACCCTTTCCCCACTCAGTCCCTGGCAACAACTTCTATTTTTACTGCTTCTACAACTTGACTTGTCTAAGATATTAAAGACATATAATATATATATATATATATATATATATATATATATATAGTGAAGTTTCTACTATGTCTTTTTATGTCGTGATAATTTACTTCCTTTAAGTGTTGACTAATATTCCAGGGTCTTGATATACCATAACTTATTTACTTATTTATTTATGGAAATAAATCTTACTTATGCCCAAGTTTGGATGACTATAAATAAAGCTGTGTCGACAAATGAAGGTTTTGTGCAGATACTCAGTAACTTCTAAGTACAGAAGTCCTCAAAATTGTCAAAAATTAACTTAAAACAATGAAGACATTGATCATCTAGTATTTTCACAATCTCCTTTTTTTGAGTGGCTTGGTGAATT